AAAAAAAAAAAAAAAAAAAAATCGGAGGAGGAACCTTGGGTGTAGACTTGTGCTATTCCTTGTTGCTTCTGGACACATTCCCCTCCTTGGCGTGACCCACCTGGTTTATTTTAAAACATGCAACAAACATTTGTAAACCCACAACCCAACACAAACTTGACCCTAAAGAAGATCCAGCCCTTCCATGGTCAGCATTCTAGATCCTGGGCCTGGGGTTCCCATGTTTTCTGTTGGTTTCATTGCATCACAGTTCATTCTGGAAATGCCTCTACTTTCAGTGTTTAGTGACACTGCTGTATGCCATCTTAGGGACTTCTTAAATGTAACACTAATGTGGGTAGGACCCATCCTGCTGCTTAGTGCTTCCACGCAGTGTGCCTTGACTGGTGTGACATTCCTCTTCTGTCCATCCCAGGCAGGGAGAGAGGGAAGAAGGGCATTCCAGTGCAGCCAGAGGCTTCTCCTAGGTTTCCCAGAAGTGGCCCCAAGGTCTCAGGTCCAGGGAGCCGGCTCAGGCTCTGTCGGTGGACCTCGGGACCTCTGGGGGCAGGGGGCGGGAAGGAGCTGTTCTGCTCCAGCGAGCTGTGTCTGTCTTGTCATCACCCTGATACTCACACCTGACCCCTGGGGCTGGTCATTAAATGGTACTCACCAGTAACAGCAACTGCTTGGAATACCTAGGACACCCTTAAAAAACCCTCCCCAGACCGCTGAGTCAGGGCTCCCAGAGGGCACAGCCCCTGTGGGGGTGGTTGGGGATGCTCAAGCAGGCTGGTTGTGGAGCGGGCCTGAGAAGAGGAACTTGGATTCCCCCACCGAACTGTGCCTGTGCTCGGGCTTCCTGTGGTGGCCCTTGTGCTGGCTCCAGAGTCCTGCCTCTAGGCTACACATGCACCTCAGATGCAAAGACAGGCACCCCAGGGTTCTGCCAGGTCCAGGGTGCGTGGACATGTTTGCAGGAGGAAACTGAGAAAAGGGGGCAGAGGTGGAGCCAAGGCAGGTTATGAAACTGAGCCTGGCAGGTACTTGGGGTGAGCCCAGCAGACAGGGAGGGGTGTGTCGGGGAGCACCGGCTGTAGGAGAGGTTCCCGTGAGAGATGTCAGCAACCGTACACACCAGGGCCTTTTTCCTTCCCAGGGTGCCGGTTTAGACAGCCCTGGTAGGAGAGGCCAAGCAGACTGGACTGAGCCACCCTCGGTCTTGAGACACCGGCCCATTGCAACACTCCCTGGTGAGTTAGGGGATGCCACCACCAGGCTGATCCCTGGGTTGAGGGTTTCTGGTGGGGGTGGGGGATGGAGATGGAAATCTAGCCCTAGCATTCCAACTTACTCTGCTTCATGTGAGCCGTCTGGACTAGTGTGGGGTTTAGGCCTCCTGGGGGCTGAAACAGTTTGCTCTAATGGGCTGGATGGAAGCCCCCCACCTGCCCTTCCTCTGGAGGCTCCTTTTGGCTCTAGGACTTTCTGGAGTTTTGTCAGGACCCCAGGCTCTCCCAGGGGCTGCAGGCTGTGGGTCACGCCAGGCAGAGGTAGGATGACAAGATTCCTCCCACTGGAAGAGTCGGACCCTCTGAGGGCCCAGAGCAGACAAGGGGCCCACCCCCACCTCACTTGCTCCCTGATACCGCAGTCTCTATACTTCTACCTGCTTCAACTCCATCCTTGGGGCTTAGACGCCCACAGCCATCGAGAGAGACCCTTCTGGTCTTCAGCTCTCGGGTGGGTCAGTGAGGCCCGAGGGCAGAATCGGGAGCCCTGACATCTCAGGGGCAGGAAAGCAGGGGCGAGATCTTCCTAGACATAGGTGGGGAGTCTGGAGGACACCCCAGATACTCCAGGGCGGAGCTCAGGGCTGCTCCATAGTCCCAGGGGATGGCAGGTGCAGGCAGCCATGAGAGGCCCCTGACATGGGCCAAACTAGGAGGACACGGCAGGGCGGAAAATGCCAGCCAGGTCCATGTCCCTGCTGGGGGCTGCTCATCCCAGTAGGTAACCTGAGTCCTGGCTGAGCCCAAAAAAGCCACTGCCCTTTAGAGCCAGCTGTGTGGGCACAGGAGGCAGAGTGGGGGAGGAGCATGGATGAGGGCCCCAATTGCTGCCCCCACTCAACTCTCCTGCTCTTCACCAAGCATCAGGCGAGGTGGCTGAGGTGAGGGCTCTGTGCCATGCCGGGCCGCACCATGCTGCTGAGCTGCTGGGGGTGTCCATTCCAGGAGCCAGCCCCCAGGGGTCTGCCACTCGGCTCCACATGTCCCTTGCATGTCTGCCCTCCACCCCCAGAGGGACTGCAGCTGAGAGGATCACTTTGACAACCTGAGCCCCTGCTTTCTCTCTCAGGTGAGGCAGCCCTCCAGGTCATGGGAGGAGCTGTGGCTGATGAGGGTCCCACAGGCATCACGGCCCCTGATGGCGGCTGGGGCTGGGCTGTCCTCTTCGGCTGTTTTGTCATCACGGGCTTCTCCTACGCCTTCCCCAAGGCCGTCAGTGTCTTCTTCAAGGAGCTCATGCGGGAGTTTGGGATTGGCTACAGCGACACGGCCTGGATCTCCTCCATCCTGCTGGCCATGCTCTATGGAACAGGTGAGGGCTGTCCCCATGCCAGGGACCCACCCTGGGGCTCAGCTGGCTAGGCCTGCCGGGCCACAGGAAGCTGTGTGTGGTCAGGGCAGTTGCTCAGGTCCACGGGGATCCTGGAGGGAAGCCCTTGAGGAACGGGGATACTGCTGGAATACTCTATTCCCCACAGCGCCAGACTGGGTGGAGGCAAAGCCTGTCTTGGCCTTTGTCCAAACAGGTCGGGTGTATTTATAGACAGTCCCTGAGAACTCCAAAGATGGCTCACTCCTGCCAACCTGTAGACCAAGCAGGGGCTAGTAGGGCAGAGCCTTCTGCATGTGAATTATGCTCTGCCTAGAGCGTGTTGTGTGACCTGCACCCAGGAAACCTGGCCACAGGGTGCCCCAGCCTGCCTGAGGGAGGCATGGGGAGGGTGGCCAGCTACAGCCGTGGGTTCCATGGGTGTGGAGGGCAGAGCTGGCTGCAGGTCGAGCCCCTCAGCTCCTGCCTTTCCTAGGCCCACTCTGCAGTGTGTGCGTGAACCGCTTCGGCTGCCGGCCTGTCATGCTTGTGGGTGGCCTCTTTGCATCCCTGGGCATGGTGGCCGCGTCCTTCTGCAGAAGCGTTATTCAAGTCTACCTCACCACGGGGGTCATCACTGGTGAGTGGGTCCAGTCGGTGGGCCATGGGTGTCAGGGGAGGGCAGAGGCCAGGCACATCTGATCCTCAGTCTAGGCCTCTGGAGGATGGCAGGGCTGGCAGCTGCAGGGTACCAGGGGTCACTGCCTGCCCCTAGTTTCTTATCTCCCAAGGGTGTTGGTGGTGGGAGCTCTGCATACTCTGGGAGCCTAGGCCTGGGAGGATCTGGGGACAGGCCAGGAGTCTTGGGACTCAGGGGATGTCATGGGCAGGGTAGGTCTCACACGGCCTCTTCCTCCAGGCCTGGGTTTGGCGCTCAACTTCCAGCCCTCACTCATTATGCTCAACCGCTACTTCAACAAGCGGCGCCCCATGGCTAATGGGCTGGCGGCAGCGGGCAGCCCCGTGTTTCTGTGTGCCCTGAGCCCACTGGGGCAGCTGCTGCAGGACCACTACGGCTGGCGGGGTGGCTTCCTGATCCTGGGTGGCTTGCTGCTCAACTGCTGCGTATGTGCCGCACTCATGCGGCCCCTGGCAGCCCGGCCGGGTGTGGTCACGGGGCCCCAGCAGTCCTCTAGGCGCCTGCTGGACCTGAGTGTCTTCCGGGACCGCGGCTTCGTGATCTATGCTGTGGCTGCCTCCGTCATGGTGCTGGGGCTCTTTGTGCCACCCGTGTTTGTGGTGAGCTACGCTAAGGACATGGGCGTCCCTGACACGAAGGCTGCTTTCCTGCTCACCATCCTGGGCTTCATCGACATTTTTGCACGACCTGCAGCTGGCTTCATCACAGGACTCAAGAAGGTGCGGCCTTACTCCGTCTACCTCTTCAGTTTTGCCATGTTTTTTAATGGCTTCACCGACCTTACGGGCTCCACAGCCAGTGACTACGGTGGCCTGGTGGTCTTCTGCATCTTCTTTGGCATCTCCTATGGCATGGTGGGCGCCCTGCAGTTTGAGGTGCTCATGGCCATCGTGGGGACCCAAAAGTTCTCCAGTGCCATCGGCCTGGTTTTGCTGCTGGAGGCGGTAGCTGTGCTCATCGGGCCACCATCAGGAGGTGAGCACCAAGGGAGGAGGGGTGGAGGGACCATGGCCCTGGGCAGCCCTATTCTCACTGCAGGAGGACTGAGCTGGAAGGACCCTAGGTGTCAGTTAGGAGTTGGGGGGGGCTCAGCCAGCATGGTCTAGATGTAGGTGCATGTGACAGATGCGGTGGCCTAGATGTGGCTCCTAAAAGCAGTGAACAGTCACAATCTAGGCAGCTCAGATGAGGCCAGAGCCAGTCTTTGTGATTTGGGGCTTTTCTTTTTAATTTTTTGAGTCAGTCTCACCCTGTCGCACAGGCTGGAGTGGAGTGGCATGCTCATGGCCATCCCAGTGTCAGCCCGCTGGGCTCAGATGATCCTTCTGCCTCAGCCTTCCAAGTAGCCAGAACTACAGGCATGCACTACTGATTTTTTGGATACATTGTAGAGACAAAGTCTCACCAAGTTGCCCGGGCTGGTCTCAAACCTCTGGGCTCAGGCAATCCTCTTGCCTCAGCCTCCCAAAGTGCTGGGATTACAGGCTTGAGCCACTGTGCCTGGCCACTTTTTCTTTCCTTTTCGTTTCTTTTTTTTTTTGAGTTGGCTACCGCAGGCCACCAGCCACTGCAGCCTCGACCTGCTGGGCTCTGACGATCATTCCGCCTCAGCCTTCCGAGTAGCCAAAATTGCAGGCACGCGCTACCACGCCTGGCTAATTTTTTTTTGTTTTTTTTGAGTTGGAGTCTCACTCTGTCGCCCAGACTGGAGGGCAGTGGCACGCTCCCGGCCACCGTGGCCTCGTAATTTTTGATTTATTGTAGAGATGAGGTCTCAGGTCTCACCAAGTTGCCCAGGCGGGTCTCGAACCTGCGGGCTCAGGCAATCTACTCACCTCAGCCTCCCAAGGCGCGAGATTACAGGCTGAGCCACCGAGCCCAGCTCACTTTTCCTTTTCTTTTGGAGGGCTAAGGGAATAATACTCGAGGGAAATTTAAAATGGTTTTGACGGGAGGGAGCAGCCTGGCTCAGACTCTGGCCTTTGACACTTAGTAGCTGCCCTCCCCTGGGTCTTGAGGTCTCTCTGGGGCTCTTCGACCTCTGGCTTCTCCTTCCCTAGCAGGGTAGGGTGGGGAGGGGCAAAGGCCTCAGTCTCTGATCCTGGGCGGCACAGCAGTGCTTCTGAGGCTACTGGCATGAAGCTACAGGAGGGCTCCATAGAGACCTGCGTGATTCCTACCACTGACTAAGGCCCAAACCCTTCTCAGAGCCACATCTATTTTTAGCCTTTAAGTCTATGCTCCCCTGGGGATGAGAAGGAAGAGGAAACTGGTGAGGACACGTAGTGTAGAGAAAACCTTGTCTCCATTAGCGGGGAGGCTGACAGGGCAACCCACGTCTTGACAGACACCAACTAGACACACAGGCTACAGTGGGAGCCCCGGACCCCGGGGTGGCCGCCGCCCCCACACCACAATTGGTGACAGGGTCTTCTTGCAGGCAAGCTCCTGGATGCGACGCATGTCTACAAATACGTGTTCATCCTGGCGGGGGCCGAGGTGCTCACCTCTTCCCTCATTCTGCTGCTGGGCAACTGCTTCTGCATTGGAAGGAGGCCCCAGAAGTTGCAACCTGGGGCAGCAGCTGCGGAGGAGGAGAAGCTGCACAAGCCCCCTGCAGATGTGGGGGTGGACTCGCGGGAGGTGGAGCACTTCCTGAAGGCAGAGCCTGAGAAAAATGGGGAGGTTGTTCACACCCCGGAAACCAGCGTGTGAAGGACCAGACCGGCAGGGCACAGGGAAAAGGTGCAGAGACTGGCAACGCTCGTATTTATTTCGTAAACAGGACTGGCTTAAGTGGGGCCGTCGGCTCGGCTGCCTCATCAGCGGATCGTCACCTGATCAGTGTTTTGCGGGAGGGAGGTAGCGGGTGGCGGATCTGCAGTGAAGCCAAGCCACGAGGTTACAGGCCGTCTGCAGCCATGGACTCAGCCTGCTGCCCCAAGCAGCCCTGTGCCCACCGCTGTGCTCAAGGACCTAGAAACCCACACTTGAGACAACATGACTTTAATCAGAGGGTGGGCTGGGACAGGCTGGGGGTGGGCACTGCACAGGGCCCTCTCTGGCCTTTCTGACCCACTGTCCTGTGCTCTCAGGCTCTACTGCCGCACCCATGCTGCTCCTCTCTGAGTGTCTGGGGACAGAGCTCCTTCCACCTGGGAAGGTGGAAATAAACCTGCGTGTGGGAGACTCAGGAGGACTGTTTACTAGGAGTGCGTGGAGTTTTGCTCTGTGCTTTGTGTGGTCTGACTGTTCACCCAAATCTCACTTCAACTAAGAAAAAACCTGCTTATTCTCACAAAGCGGTTCTGGTCTGTACCAGCTTTCTCAGTGATATCTGTTCCAGAACATTCCTTGCTGACCCTGAGGGTTACATGTGGCAGGTGCTAGGTCTATAGAGAGGTGTGGGGCAGGTGCCTGGAGGCACAGCATGTGAGGCTGTGCACTGGGGCTGATGTCTGAAACATGCAGGGGGACCCCTGTGGTACGGATATGAGCTGGGGTGGGCAGGCAGCTTCTGTTCACTGTGCGTGTGTTTAAGAAATAGGATTTTCCTGCCTCATTTATTCACCCCCGGGCTGGCTGGACCACGCAGCTGGCCTCTCTGCTCCTTGTCTTCCTCAGTGCTGGGACTTGCCCTGGGCACTTCACACCCACCTGCCCTTGTGGCCAGCAGCGACCTGCATGGCCGGGAGCCCGGTCAGAGGCCGCTGGGGCCCTCAGTAGGTGGTGCGTCGCGGGCGCTGGGGACGGCAGCGGGCACCCTTGCGGGCCGCGTGCAGCCGGAGAGATGCCACATCCCTGCTCCTCTGCAACGAAAGCAAGCAAAAGCACCCGTCTCAGGCCAGCCTCCCTGTCTGCCCCAGCCTCGCCCCATAGCCCTGGCCTGTATAGCCCTGCAGGAAGCCAGGCTTGAGTTCCTGTACCTCAGGCCCCTGCCTGTAGCCTCATGGCTGTAGCGGCCCCTCTGCTGGGGCTCAGGCTGGTAGGCAGTACTGGCAGCTTCAGAGGCCAAGGTCCAGCTCTGAGCAGCCAAGGGCCACGTGTCCTGGAATCTGCCAACCTCACCCATGTAAAGACTGGCAAGGTTCCTGGCCTTAGGGCTGGCTGAGCCCCAACTGCAGCCTACAGGCCTGCAGTGCTCATAGCTGCCTCCTCGAGCTGAAGGGAGAGGGACCAGGCAGTGGGGTGCAGGTATCCGTGGACACAGGGCCTGCCCGTGCCCTTTCCCCAGTCACCCTTGGTTCCTCAGAAACTCCCACAGGTTCCTCTGACCCACTCCCTTCTCTTCTGGCCCAAGAGATCCTGGGTACACTGACCCTGACCACCCTGGTCCTGCCAGCCCCAGCAGAGTTGTCCTGGGCTTCCAGAGGAGCCATTGGGGGAGCAGCCACAAGGGTCTCATTCCCAAAAAGGCTGTGAGCCTCACTCTGGCCCTACCCTGCCTCAGCCCCAGGCTGGGAAGGAGCAGCAGGAAGTAAGTGTTCCTCCAGCTTTGGTCCCAGCCCCTTTCTTCCCAGCCCTGTCCCCACACCCGCACCCAGAGAATGAAATCGGCTAACCCTGGGGTAGGGGCAGCATGAAGCCAGGAGGTGGTGATCCCTAAAAACCATGCCTTGGGAACACTGTTCAGTGACTCTGAGTCAGTTAAGATGTAGGAGAGCTCCCTGAGAAAGTGGATGCAGCTAGGTTAGGGGTGGGACATGCAGGGGCTGGAGTCTATGCACTGCAGAGGAGTATGAGCTCTGCGCCCCCCACCCCACCGATGCCTTCAGGGGAGAGCTGCTGCATGGCCTGAGTCCCTCAGATCATTGGGGGCTGGTGCCTGATGCCACGAGGGCACTGCCATGCACAGGTCACAGCACCCAGGGCTCCTCCCACTGCACTGGGAGAGAGAGGCATAGGGAGGTGGCCCTTTCACCTATTTTTCTGGTTCCAGATGCTTTTCAGCTGTGTGTACCAAGATAGGGAGAAAAGGCCACTTCCTGTTCTCAAGGAGCTATCATGGTCACTGGGGTAGTGGTGTCTGCCGTTCTGACCCAGCAGGCAGGCCTGAGGCACAGGGCCAGGGGAGAAAAAGTCACTAAGTACTATAGAGGAACCTGGGGGCAGGAGTGGTTGGGGGAATGTAGGCTGTGAACAGAACTGCCCCCTGCCCAGGAATAGATTTTGGGACCAAAAGAGTCTCCTGTCCATGATCTTGTGAAGGTTCCCCAGCAACACAAATGGCCTGAAAAGCATGTAGGTCTAGAGACCCCTCTACGTAGGTCTGGAGTGGGAGGGTCGGGGAGGAGCACAGACATCATCACATAGTCCCCAAATCCACAGGGAAAGGGATGAGCCAGCATCCTGGGCTGCATCTCTGATCTTGCCTCACATGCCTAACTGCCCTCCGTCTCAGATCACACCTCCGAAGACAAGGGAGGTGCCCGCCCTGGGTCTTTGCAGGAACAGCCTGGGAACAGACATGTGGGGTCTGTGCAGGAGGGTTCTGGGGGCAGAGGCAGGAGACCCAGAAAGGGCCTGGAAGCCAGAGACCTCAGCCTTCAGAAGGGTCTGTAATGAAGCTCCAGGAGGCACCTCCCCACACGTGCAGGGCCTGCTGGCTCGTCTCAGCCTCTAAGCCATGTTCTCAAGGACACAGAATCCAGCCAGGCCCCTAACCAATCTCTCTCCTTCTCTCCCCTCCACCCACACACATCCCCTCCAAGGCCAGATGGCGCTGAAGAGCCGCTGTCCAGCTGCCTCTGGGTGGGGCAGTGGCCTCTGGGAAAAAGCACAACCCCGGCCCCCTCTTCTGGCAGTAACTACAGTAACTAGGGTTTCTACCATTTTCAGGCTGGTACCAGTGTGGCTATAAGCAGGGTGAAGGGTGATCTCACTCACGGCCACAGTGAGGGTCCACACATCAGCTGCTCAGTCTCAGGCAGTGAGGTGTGAGAAGGGATGTGGGGCACGGTCGAAATGGCCCAAAGAGGAGGGGCCCTGGAAGAGGCAAAAGTCAGGGCAGGAGGGTTTGGCACTGAGCTCCTGGCTGTGGGTACCCCAGTGGATGTTTGGGGGCAAGAATGTGTCATATGTACCATCACAGAATAGCCACAAAATTCTCTCCAGCACTCACCCACACGTGGTCACATGCAAAGCCATGATGCTCCTTCTTATCCAGCAACTTCTGAGAGAATGGACTAGGAAGTCCTTCTGGCCCTTGACTACAAACAAGCATTTCCTCAACTCAGCTGTCTGGGCAAGCGCAGGACCCTGAGATGTGGCCACAGCCAAGATGCCACAGTGTGGGGGAGGGAGGTTGTCTGGCTGGGCTCTGGGCACATCTGTATATGGGGCACTACTAGGAGTCTGTGAGGCCAGACAGGCCCAGGCCACGGGTGCAGACCTCCTTGCTCCAACAGTCTGACCCCTCATCTACCTAGACCTTGGCAGGAGCACATGAAGATAGTCTCCTTGTGCCTGTGTAGTGTCATCTGGAGCCCCTGGGGGAAGGGAGACACAGCAGCTCTTGGCCTTCAACAACTCAAGTGATGGAGCCTGAAGCCATAAGACCCAGGGACAGAGACATCGCCTTCACGGGGGTTATTTGCTAAGAAGGGCCATGCCATGGGGGACAGCACCCTTACTGGGACGGGGAGTGACGGGTTCATTTGGGAGCGGAAGCCACAAGCTGCCCTCCATGGTAGCGTGAATGCACCATCCCGCCAGCAAGGTCTGTTCACATCCCATTAGACAGGGTGGCCACATGCTTCCTGCTGGTACTGCCTATGGCAATGGGGGAGCAGGGCCTCTTTCCTGAAGGTAAAGCTGAGGAGAGGGGCTCCCCGGAAACGCCACACACAACCCTTGTGTGGACTCACATGTGTGCACACACCCTACCCGTGTGCATACCAGAGCCTGAACAGAAGTCCAGGAGGAGGCGTCCATCCACACCATGCCAGCTGGGGGCCCGGGGCTCCAGGGCAGCCCTTCTCCTGCCCCAGTAGCTCACAGATGCCAACAGGCTGAGAGGACAAACAGGAGTACCTGTCCTCACAATAGCAGTTCTCCTGTAGTTAATCTCAACACTGGAATCTCTTAAGCTGATGAAATAAAAACCACATAGAAGGGGCCAGGAAGAAAGGTAGAAGTCATTATGAATTTATTATTTACACAATTGTTAAAGTACACAAATACAGTGGTAATACAAATGCACAGCTCAGAGACTGGGTACCAGTACACAGGTTGATACAGACACTCTAACTAGGTATCCTGCAAGTAATGATGGGGATTAAATACTGGGCAAGAACTGTCACAACCACACACCCTCGACGACCCAGGAGCTGAGTCCACAGCAACTTCAGGTCGGAACCTGGGTGCAGGTTCACAACATCAGAGGCTGCCTTGCACTGTCTTTCTGTACTACATTGGGACCATGGCTATTTACAAGGAAAGCTGGTGCCACCGCAGGCTGCAGCCCAGTACCTCGCCAAGCGGGAAAGCCCACCACTAAGAGGATGCTTGATAGCAAACAAAACCTCAAACTTGCCCCACTCACCTGACTGCCTTCCACACTTCTGGACATGCAGCCCTACCCAGTCAAGGCCCCACACCTCAAAATGCTTACAAAGTAACCAGCTCAGCATTCAGAAAGCAGTGCCCATGGGCTCGGACAGATGGATGGTCAGCTGAGACCGTGAACAGCCATATTCTGGGATGCCACCAGGTATGGTGTCCCAGGGTCAGCCTTCCTGTGCAATGGGACCATGGGGAAGCAAGGGAAGAACCAAGGCGGACACCTTCAGGGTCCCAGTTTCCAAATGGAATGCTCTCCACAGACGACAGGAGAAAATGCAGAAATGCCTATGCACAAGTATTGCACCTCATGTCCAGGACGGGCGCTCATGCCCACTGGCTACCACCACCATTTGGTGCATGTGACTGCTGCAGAATTAAAGGCAAGAGAGAGCGTCTTAGAGAACCACACAGCACTGCAGCCAGGAGCCCAGAGGGGCAGCACCAGCTGTGGAGGCTGCTTTCTTTCTGATGAGACTCAGCCCAACCTACATGGCTGACTTCTGATCAGTTCACACATACCCAATTGAGGGTCATGGAGTGCACAGTACACACCTTCCTGGATGTGAAGGTTCAAGATCAGGTGTTAAGTCAAGTCACCTTCTTGGCACTTCAGGGTGGATTTCCTTCGGCCTGCTGGCTTTTCTGGGCAAACCTTGGCATCTGGTAAGGACAGCCCCCCTTCTGGGTTGAGCACACAGGCACTGACACAAACGAAGCGCCAATCTACATGGTAGTATATACAGTCTGTTTAGAAAATTTCTCGAATTCAAAGGCAGTGAGGCAGCATACACTATACCCCAATAACTAAATACAACCCCAAAGTCCCTCAAATCACAATCCTCTCCTCAACTTTTACTCCTGGAGCTCCCAACTGCCCTAGTAGGGTCACAAAGCCTCTGCTTCCAAGTTCTTCAGTCGACTTCCAAGTTCTTCAGTTGAATTCCTTCTCACCTCCTTGGGGAACAACTGCATGTTGCTGTGCTTGGAAACAATCGCTGCGCCCTGTTCTAGGGCTTGCACTTCCTTACTGCACTGATGGTCACAGGCATTTCAGTTATGAAGGAGGGAGGGTGAGACGCCAAAACCAGGCCAACGAGGTTCCACAACACACACACGCACAGGCGCACATGTAATAGAACTTCTGATGAGAAATTTCCCTCCAGAGTGGACAACATAACACAACAAAACAAACACAACACACACATCCTTGAGATTCACGTGCCCCCTCCCTGCCTTACTCCACTTGACACACAAACTCTAAGCCAGTGTCTTTGTTTCAGAATTCTTTAAAGTCAAGCCTTTTTTAAGACCGCAAAAACAGACAAGAAAGAAACAATAAAAAGACAGATTTCTTTACACAGATTTAAGCCAGTAATTTTTAGCAAAATGATACAAAACTGTCTTAACCAAGTAGAAGATTGGTAGTTACAGTGGACTCGTCAGGGAGCACAGGTCACCACCATGGGAGGGAAGCGGAGCAGAAAGGCTCTTGAAAGGGAGTCTGGTGCTCTCTGCAATGGTCTCTCACACTCTGCTTTTCTTCCCAGCCCCGTTATAACCGAGTTCACGTGGGGGGCCACAGTGGCAGCCCCTGGCGGTGGCAGCTCTTGGAGTTTGTCCGTTAAGTTTGTTTTGTTTCCCCATGAGCATCGCTGGGTGAGTGGCCTGGAGAGCTCCCGGTGTTAACATTTCGGTTCTAGACCGGGGGACGCGTCACTAGTAAAGCCATTGGTAACAGAGTAGATCAGCCATGCATTGTCTGCCCTTCACAGCAAAAAGGAGAGTTCTCATCGGTGCACGACAGACTGAAGACCACTGGAAGCCACCCGACCGGGAATCTGTCGGAGCCAAAGCACAGGAGAAGGTCAGCATGAGGCTAGAAGAACGAGGCCTGTCAAGTGCCTAGCACAAACACTACAGTGATGGAGCCTGGCAGGGAGGGAACACACGTTGCCTAGCCCCTGTCTGGACGTCTGCGACCCCAGCCACACAGAGGGATCTCTGCAGCCAGGACATGTGCTCAGCAGAACAAGTGACAGGAAGATGGGGACGGAAGAAAAGGCATGCAAGCAAGGTGATCGCAGAGCCGCACGGCAGCATCGGTGAGGATCCAAGGGGAGGAGACACGTGCTCCCACCTCCTTTCCTAGAAAGGAACTCAGTGTTTTGAAAACGGGCACCCCTTTGGTGGAAGACGTGAAAAGCAGTTCCTATCAACACATTTCCAAGAGTGTGCACAGTGTGAAAACGGCAGCAGGTCTCCCAGCAGCACTAAACCCTACAGAAGCGCGAGCCCCTGCTAGAAGAAGCCCCGTGCCCATGGCTGACCAGGAGGGAGCACAGCGTGGACGCTGGCCATGCACCAACGGCAGGGAAGGGGGCCGTGGAGGAGGGACTGATGCAGACGATAGCTGCGAGGACGAGATGGCTGGGCAGAGGCCAAGTTTGAAAAGAAACACAAGCGAGGACAGAGATAAATGAGAGCTAGGAAGAGAAAGACGACTAAAAAGGCTGGGATGGGCAAGGCCGCCGGGAGTCGGAACGCAACAAGAGCTCAAGAGCCCCCAACACCAAGCGTGGTGCCACTCAGCGAGCACGACACAGACGCCCCTCCCCAGCACCAATGACTCCAGACGAGGCACCGCAAGTGTTCTAGGGCATGGAGAGCCAGGACCAGGGCAGTGCCTTGTTGTTCCTGCTCACACACGGGCCCCCGGGAGAAAGAGCACTGACTTGTTGGATGTAGTCACGGGGAGGCCAAAGGCCACAGGCACAACACGATGTCTCCTGGGCTGCTCCGTTCAGAGACTGTGGCTGCCTCGCCCCACACTGGGCAGCTGACTGCAGCTGCCGTGTACCCAAAGGAGAACAACAAAGCGGAAGAAGCCTCACTCTATCTCGGCACTTGCCATGCAAGCCCAGCCCCATCGGCAAGCTCCCTTGGGCGGGCCAGGGGTGGCGGCTCCCACCCTCCCGGCGCTGGCGCTGCTGCTGCTGCGCCCACCCAAGCACACTCACCCAGCGCTGCCTTCCGACGCGAGACGAGCAGCTACTTGCCGTGGTGTTCGAAAGGAATGCTATTCTGAGGTGGGGAAAAGACAGCTGTTGGTAAGCATCCCATGGCCCCCTGACTGCCTACGGCGGCTCCACGTCCAGATGGGTCTCTCACCTCAACCAGGCCCACAGACCACTGACAGGTACTGTCTGGGGGATGCTGGGAACAGCTGTAGCTCACTGCCACTCAGGACTGGCCTTTGGATAAGAGTAATGGCTGCTCTTCCTCTAGGCTCAGTCATTCGCAAGGGCACAGGACAGACCCTTCTAGCTGTTCTCACACATTTAGAGAACCCCATGCCCCAGCAGGATGGAAGGCTGGGTGGGCCCCACACATGGGACCAGTGGACAAGACACGCTTCCTCATGAATACGAGGGCTGGGCTGCAACTAGGCACAGCATAAATGAAAGGAGTCATTCGAAGGAATACTGGCCCCTTTCCGAACATGAATGACTGATAAGGCCTTTCTTCTCACAAAGTAAAACAAAAAACAAAAACACAAAACACAAACAATCCATCTATAGATGCCCTTTAGGCCCACGATATTTTGGTCAAAGAGGCCGGGCCCAACACAAGCTGCCCCTTGAGAAGGGAGGAGGGGTAAAGAGGGAGTAGCCCCGCTTACAAAGTCTGGGGGGAAAGTCCCACAGTAGAGGGACCTCAGCCACCTGCACGTCCTTCACCGTCCAGTCCTGCCTGGGGGGCCAACCAGTACTGGAAAACCTTTCTGCCTACTCCTTGCATCCTCATGGGATGTACTGACTCCTGAAGGGGCAGAGAGAACCAGGAGAAATGGCAGACCAAGGAGGAAGAATAGCCCGGGAAACATGTGCAGCACCTGTTTCTACAGTTTACCCTGAACACACACAGTGCTATTTCTACTGTAAGCCCCAACTCTCTCTGGGAGCCTATGTGAGAATGACTACAGAACTATAAAGCTGGAGCAACCCCACATACTCTGTAACTTCCACACCACCAGGGCAGGCGCTTGGCCAATGGTCTCAGGAAGAGATGATCAAGGACGAAGTCTCGCTTGTCCCCCCTGGATTCAAAACCAGAGGCCACTGCTCAGATCCCCAAAGGAGACCCAGAGGGGAGAGGATGCAGTATGAGGGCAGCAGCTTCCCAGGGACCTAGAAATCCTCCCGCCAGGGATAAAGGAGAGAGCCCACCCAGAACACGGGAGTCTCAAGGAAAACCGCAGGGCGACCAGGAGCAAAACCTAGGATGCTGATGAGGGGAAAGACCCCAAGATAAAAATTGTCTGGAGACTCCTCCCTACTGTTAAAAGCCACATCGTATTTCTTCATATGGAAAACACAGTCCAAGAGAGCAGGATGCAGGACTCTAAGCCATAAGCTCAACCACAGGAAGGAAGTGAAGCACACTTTCTGCTGCCACCCGGGGGCTGTGCATGGTCCCTCAGCAAGCGATGAGACCAGCAGGCAGAGACAGCCACTCCTGGGTGTCCACCAGGACCATGTGGCCGAGAAGAGGCTGCTGGACTCGGGCCTGTGATGACTGGCACTCTCAGGACCTCCTGATTCTTACTGTTTTACTTTCTGCAATGATCCCAAACCACCACAGGTTCATTTTCAAGAAAGAAAAGAAAAGGAAGAAAAAAGTTAGGCCTGCCTCTTCCTTTGTGCCACTGATGTGAGGATGTCTAAGTTCACCCAGAGTCCCCTGCATGTGTTAAGAGGATGGACAGGCCCAGACCAATCTTTCCAGGACCTGCTCACAGTCGCTGATGTGTGAATGCCAGGTTCCTGGGAAGAGGCTTTCTGTGTCTCCTGGTGAAGGCACAGGGCTGAGGCTAGGGCCACTGGGGTATTCACACATAAAAACCTGATCTCGATGCCGGCCAGACACTCATATAACCACTCATTCAAACTCCCTGTATCTCTGGTCTCTCTGGGGAAAGTTACTACACAAAAACATCCGTTTCTAATAAAATTATTAGTGAATTAGGAATGTTGAGTAAAACTACTCATTTCATTTGATTAAAAAGATGGCAACTGGCCAAAAGCACTCCTCACATCAGCAGTCTTGCTTCCTGCGCTTTCTTCATCAACAGGCACCAACAGGCTATGTCCAGTACCACCCTGTGACCCAGATGGGAGGCAGCCTCCCAACAACACCCAGAACTACGTCGCCATGCATTTCTGAAACAAGTTTCTGCTCCTCTAAGAGAGCCTCGTGGGGTATCCAGCACGCTTGCTGGTGAGAGCAACAGCCCTGAGGGGCTCCTCCTAGGTCTTCTCACCCATGTCCCTATTGGTGGGGGACTCTGAAAGCTATTTGAGGAAAACAAGTCAATACATAAAAGCTGTTCTGGGCTGCTGAAAGAGCATGTTAGTGAACACAAAAAACCAACAACAAAAGCATGAGTGAGAAGAGAAGAAGCTGGTGGGAAAAGATGGTTATGAGAGGAAGTCCCTGAGGCCAGGTGCAGGCTGTTCTGCCTTTGCAGCACCACAGGAGTACTCTAATCAGAGAGAAGAAAACAGACAAGGCCACAGAAAGATGGAAAGCCTTGCTGCATGGCACGCCACTGCAGAGTCACATCAAGGAGCCTGTGGAGGCTCCTACAGGCTCCCTTCTCGGCCAACGGGTGTGGGCGAGACAGGTCCATACAGGGGCCTCCACAGACTTTGTCTGGAGCTCCTGGTCAATAGCAAGGATGAGGAGGGTTCCCACAGCTGGGTGTGCCCCAAGCAACCCACTCCAGATGGGAGGTGTGAGTGGGCAAGTGGTTTCCAGTCTGCATGGGTAAGGAGCTGGGGAGGGAGGCACCACTCCAGCAGCAGAAGAGAAAAAGGCCCTTTATAATTTGCTGCCTGATGGCTCCTGTTACCTACCACACCAGGGCCGAGGAGGAGCTTTGACAAGCACAACTTGTCCAAGGCTCTCACCAAGAAGTCAAATCAATGAGGAACACGATCACTCCATAGGTTAAAAACTCTCTATGGAGGAAAAAAAGGAAAGAAACAAACCCTTCAAAAATCGTGTCTCTAGCTGGGCGTGGTAGCGTGCACCTGTAATTCTGGCTACTTGGAAGGTTGAAGTGGAAGGATCGCTGGAGCCCAGCAGGCCGACACTGGGGTGGCCGTGAGTATGCCGCTGTACTCCAGCCTGGGCAACAGTGAGACTCCAACTCAAAAAAAAAAAATCGTGCCCCACCCTCAACTGTGAGGGACACCTGCCTCCAGGAGCTGAGGGCCATACCTGTGAGGTGGACATGCGGGAGGTATCTTGTCGGCCTGTGAGGTCAGACGAGGAGATGTTGACCGGGGCCCCACGGTGCAGCCGCATGCTCACCTTCCGCTCTCTCTCCATGCCAGAGACAGGCCGCGGGGAGGTGTTCGCTGAGGAGAGGGAAAGAAGCTAGTGTGAGCTATCCCTGCTGCCTTGGGGCAGACCACAGCTCCCACATGAGGGGCTGCTCTTTGAGAAGCTGTGGCCAGTGAGGCCCCTGGTGGCTGCCCACAGTCAGATCAGGCCCAGAGGGCGCCCGTCGTACCCAGCATGCGGCTGCACTCCTCCATCCCCCAGACCAGGAGCGCCTGCCACAGTGGGAGGGCACTGGCAAGGGGTGTGACGCTTGTAGCACACAGGGACTCAGGAATGAGGATCAAAAGGTTCCTGGGGGAAGAATCTGTGTAGTAAGACAGGAAACCATTTTATACAGGAAACTGCAAACTTCAGTAATAGCTTTCAGAGAACTCAATCCTTTAGGAGACCAAATACCGTGAAAGAGGTGTTTCTAAATAAATGAGAATCTGAAACAGCCTTGACCACCAAGTGCACCTGGACTGGGCTCCCTAAGAGGTCAGAGCAACACTAAAACACAGACTCCCCAAAACACAAAACAGAAGTAGCCCTAGAGCCTGGCTCTAGAGCACTGGGGGCGGGGGGAGAGACAACACTCACCCGTGTGTGAGGTAGGGGTGAGGGGTGTTGGGGGAGCCACTTCTTGGGTCCCCCGCAGGCGGCCAGAGGCTGTGGAAGGGAGGCCGCGGGTGGCTGGATTCCGAGAGTGTCTCAGTCGCTCCTCTCGGTCCCGGCGTTCCCGCTCAGCATCATCGGCAGCACGGCTGGCACCCTGAGGGAGGAGATGAGATCAGAATGGAACTGGGTTGGGTAAGAAGCAACACAAGACCCAGGGCTGTTCCCTGATGAGAAATTACCAAGGGGCATTTGAGACAAGACTATCCCATGAAGCCATCCATAACAGCGCAGCAAGTCAAAAAACAACCTCTCATGGGACAATGGCTCAATCCCTGTGAGTGGTAAGAGCCAGGCCTCTCAGCCCTCCCTTTCCTGACCTAATACCCTGGAAAAAACCCCACTCCTGTAGCTGCTGCATTTCCCAGAGAAGGCTCAATACTTCCTTAAACTTCAAAATGGACAGCAACTGGGACTCTCCTCTGCCAATATACTACATGCTAATATATGGAGGGAGAGGACAAGAACTCATCAGAGGCCAGAGACAGATCTAAAATGGCAACTGTTGAGGGAGGACAACTGGGCAGGGATGAGGTGTCCTTCTAGAGTCCATACCCTCAGCTCCAGGGAACATGTTGTGGGGATGCAGCCAGGTCTGTGCTGGACACCCAGGTACATGGAGGCACTGGGTCTGAAGCAGTAGAGCTTAGGTACCCAACCTACTGAAGATCACATTCTAAAGACCAATGCTATAAGGCAGGGGTCTGCAAACAGTGGCTCCCGGGACAAATTCAGGTGCTACCTGTTTCTGCAGATAAAGTTTACTGGCCAGAACACACCCACTTGTTGATATGCTGCCCATGGCTGTGACACTGCATAGCCAGCAAAACTGAGACTATGGACTATTTGGCCCTTTATAGGACATGCTTGCGAAGCCTGCTGGGAGGGCTGGATACAGTGGTCACCTCTGGGCACCTGTAGTAGCAGCTCCAAGGGTGGCTCTTAAGCACTGGCCCAGCAGAGGGATGCAGGCACTCTGCAGAGCACTCTCCTACACCTAAAGGCAACCAGGTCAGTCCATGGCCCCCACCCCCTGCACAGCCATCTGACAAGGCTGCTGAATACTGCATCATCCAAAAAGGCAATTCTACTTCTCCATCAGATTTTGTCACCTGGACAAGTTCCAATTTCTATTTTAAACTACACAGACTAATTTTTTTTTCCCCGAATGTTAATGAAACTCTACAATCACCCAGGCAGAGACAGGCTGGCTCAAGAACCTCCTTGGTTACATCCAGGAAATTCTCATCTGTACAAGGACACTATATGCAAGGCCAGCTCACTGCAGAATCACAGAGGTCGAACGCAGCACCTCGCCAAGTGGCCAGTCACACTTGCGCTCCCAGCCAGTCATTCATCTCATGGGCATTAAGAGCATCTGGTGCTGGAACAGGTACCCACAATCCCAAAGTCAAAACCCTACCAGGTATGCATACCCTCTTCCACTCAGCAGCCACACCCTTTAACACCCAAACCTTGTGCAACACGACTCCCCGTGTAAGACATGACCCTGATGAGACAGCCACAGGCCTCTTGCTGACAAGGCTGTTTCCTACACCACACTTTGAGAATGAACACGTTGGCAGTGCCACTTACAAATTTGAGCATGTTCCAGTCAAACACATAGTCGTAGGAGAAGCCCTGACGATGGAACAGATTCCGGAAGAGCTGTCTCAGGTATGAGTAGTCAGGTTTGTCATCAAAACGCAAGGAACGGCAGAAATTCAGGTATGTGGCAAATTCAGCTGTAAAACAAGAAACTCAAAGCTAACCAGTGAAGCTCCTGACTGCGACCCAGTGTGGTGTCTATCAACACTGCCGATTACCTCCAGCTGCAACACACAATAAAGGTGTAAAAGCCAAAATCCAAAACATCAGTCAGATTTGTAAGAATCTAGGCCTTAATTAGTTTAGAGTTTAAAATAACTCAGCATCACAGAATACAATTTAATTTTATCTAGGGCACATATCCTAGGGGCAGTCCCAAAAAACAAAGGCAAATCCACTGAGTACAGCTCCAAAAGCTGGAGGGGGCGAGGAAGGGCATACAGTGGTGTGCAGAGGACAGGTCCAACCACCTGCCCATCCTCACCTTCCTAGCCACTTGGGGTCTCCCCAGGCTCAGTCTTGCCTCTGAGAATCAGCCTTGAACAAAGGCCTGCCTTGCCTGCCATCTCTACAGGGTCTCTAAGTGCCCACCCAGATAGGCACTTGGCAGGTAAGTCAGAACAAACGAAGGCTGCCTGTCACCTCTATACACAAAGGCATCCCTCTTTTTGTAGCAAGTGAGAGACTCTTATGACAGAAAACACAGGCAGAGTCATCTCAGTACACTTAGGGCAGCCAGACATTCATACAGACCTTTCTAACCACCGCCAATGAAAAGATGGGCTGGGTGGTTTCTTTCGCCTGTGTCAGCTCTGGAACATCACTCTGTCTTTTTTCTCTCCTTTCTCTAATAAACTTTGTTTGAAAACTTAAAAAAAAAGATAGGTTGAAGAGCCTAGAAAACTTACAAGGGTAGCCTTTACACAACACTTCAATGGGAGTGGACATTTTCTTCTCACTAATTCTTTCATATTTCTGTCTCTTGGTGGCAGCCTTCAGCCCCTGCCAGGGGAGAGAGCCCAGGTTGAAGTACATTAGCACATAACCTAGAGACTCCAAGTCATCTCTTCGAGATTGTTCTGGAAAGAAAAGGGAAACATATAAAGGACGGCACCCTATGTTCCTGTAAAAGCAAAAGACCCACTACACACAATGGAAATAAACTCTAAAATAACAGAAAAATAAACTTGGGCTACTCTGATCAAAAGTTGTTTGTCATGCACTACTTTTTTGTGTGTGTGAGTTGGAGTCACTTTGTCACCCAGGCTGGAGTGCAGTGGCATGCTCAGTCAGTGCAGCCCTGACCTGCTGGGTTCAGCCGAACCTTCTGCCTTAGCCTTCCAATTAGCTGTAACTACAGGTGTGCTACCATGTCCAGCTAATTTTTGATTCATTGTAGAGATGAGGACTTGCCAAGTTGCCCAGGCTGGTCTCGAACCCCCAGGCTCAGGCACTCCTCTCACCTCGGCCTCCCAAAGTACTGGGATTACAGGCTTGAACTACTGTGCCGGGCCCTCATGTGCTATTAAGGGAATTCTCAAACACCCCTGCATGAAAAACATCCCAGGATTCACCTGCCCCTGCACACCCGACACACATTGAAGCCAGTCTGTCTGCTGTGAAGGTCTGATGACAGCCTCCAGACCTACAGCTGTGCCACTACACACACCCACATCCCCAGGTCACCCAAGAGGCTAGCCTTTCTCTGAGTGGAGGGATGGACACGCCCAAATGCACTGTAGGTCGCTGACCCATGCCCAGGGACTCACCAATTCCAAGGTGCGTGTTGATGGAGGCATACCGTGCCGTGCCTGTGAGGTTTTTGTTCTCGCGATAGGGTATGTGCTGGTGGGTTCTTGCATCCCGGTACTTCTTGGCCAGCCCAAAGTCTATGATGTAGACCAGGTTGCCCTTCTTTCCCAATCCCATAAGGAAGTTATCTGGCTTCACATCTCGGTGGATGAAGTTCTTTGAGTGAATGTATTCAATACGACTAATCTACAAGCAAAGCAGCAAGAGAGAGAGAGAGAGAGAGATTACACCCCAGGGCAGCTTGTCTTGAAAAGAAACCTGCTCAGCAGCTGCACATTCTCTGCCCTCAGTCAAAGCAAAGTCACTTAACAGTTAGGAAGGGTGAACACTGAAATGACAAAAAGTCATCTCCCCAGGTACCTTCTTCAGCTTTCCTCTATCCACACAGGCCCGGGCATTCTCCTTTGGGCTTTCACAGAGTGGACAGAGGACAGACCGAGGGGACAGCCCGCTACTAGACAATGGTCTCTACTACCTGTGTTCTTTGAACGGGCTACACAAAAGAATTCTCTAAGAAACTGCACATAAGTTATCGGGAATCAAAGGTGTTCCTCAGAGACTCAGGACTTCCATTCAAGGTGGCATGCTATCTTATGCTGAGAGCGGGTCTCCAGACCAGCCGTGTCTCCACCCTGAGGCTAAGGTTAAATAAATGTCCACATTCTCTCTGTGAATTAATAGGCATGATAATGGAGAGAACAGTAACTGAATACAGTAAGTCCTCTACATACTAACCTTCAAGATGTGAACCTTCAAAGATGTGAACATGTGTTTACATGTCCAATAATGTGTCTTGCCCCCGTCTCCTACCTCTGATGATCCTTCAGCTCTACTATCTCCCCCCTCCTGCAGTCAGTAACTCTTCTTGCCTGTTCACTCGATGTCAGTCCCTGTATGCTAGCTGTTGTACTGTACTGTAAAATTAAAAATGTTTTTATTTTTGTTTATGGTTTTTATGTATTATTTTGTGAAAAGTATGACACACCTATTACAGTATAGTACTATATATTCCATTGTGTTAGTTGGTTAACTAGGCTAACTTTGCTGAACTTACAAACAAATTGCACTTATGAATGTGCTCTCGGAACAGAACTTGTTCATATGTAGCAGACTTACTGTAATTTAGTCTGTCAGGCTAGCAAGTGTGTCCCAAATGTCCCACTGCCCGGACACTTCAGGAATTGGTCCTTACCATTTGGTCAGCAAGCAGCAGGACGGTTTTGAGGCTGAACTTCCTGGAGCAGAAATTGAAGAGGTCCTCCAGGCTGGGCCCCAACAGCTCCATGACCATGACGTTGTAGTCCCCCTCTGCCCCACACCATCTAATGGTAGGGATGCCAACTAGGCGAGAAACCAAACAGAGCATTTCAGTCTGGGTCCTGCATCACTCCTCTGCTCCACGCTGAGCCTGCGTTTGCACAGACGGTGAGTGGACAAGGCAGGAAACCCCAACAGTGCCTGTCCTTGGACCTGTAGTTGAGATGAGGCCACATACGTGAACAAGTGGCATGAATCCAACTGTCAGACAAGGGTCGAGCCCACAGCAGCTGGAAGTAAGACAAAGAGAGGAGCTAGGCCTGACTTCACAGCCACTGACCTCCTGGGTAGATGGATGGGAAATGCAGGAAGAGCGGGCGATGCTCGCAAGAAAGGAGCCCCGGCAGACAGGCCCAGCTGACCGGACGGAGACCACAGTCACACTGGAGAGAGGGTTCAGAAGAAAGATCTGAAATGCAAGGCTGAGAAACAGAAGACAAAGGCAGCCACCTTTCTCTTCTATTGGGTATAAGACAAAATTTTTTTTAAACATCTCTGATTTTGGTAGAAATATTTGATTAAATGAGAGAAAAGCAAAAACGATGAAAACTTTTTGGGGATTTATGCAGTAACCAGAGTTGAAATATACAAGTCAGTGGAAGTGAGAAGACAGAATAATCCAACAGAAAGAACCAACAGATCCAGAACCCCAAACAAGGGAAAGAATTTAAAGATGGTTACAAGGTGTCAGCTCTGAAGACATAAATCAACACTAAAAAGACAAACAATTCACTTTGGAAAAAATGGGCAAAAGATCCAGACACTTCATCAAAGAATATGTGTCAACAGCCACAAGACACTCAGCAAAATTGAAGACATGCTCCTGAAGGTTTTAGAAGAATGTACACAGCAGTTTTACTCAAGAGTCAAAATTCAAATGATATAGAAATAGATGAGTTGAGCCGGGCTCAGTGGCTCAGCCTGTAATTCCGTGCCTTTGGGAGGCTGAGGTGAGTGGATTGCCTGAGTCCGCGGGCTCGAGACTTGCCTGGGCAGGTGAGACCTCATCTCTACAATAAATCAAAAAAATTAGCCAGGCGTGGTAGCTCGTGCTTGTAGTTCCAGCTACTCGGAAGGCTGAGGCGGAAGGATCGCCAGAGCCCAGCAGGTCGAGGCTGTGGTGGCCGGCAGTGGCCACTGCACTCCAGTTTGGGCAACAATGAGACTCCAACTCAAAAACAAAAACAAACAAGCAAAAAAAGAAATAGATGAGTTTCTCAAAACACCACTCCCCAGAATATGCTCTTTGTTCCTTTTTATCCCTACAGTCATGAGAACATACAGTTTTGACTGTTTTCATAGCCTTGGATCCTAATTCTACTTGCAGTTATACATACATCTTTATAATTCTCTGAATACATTTTATGTCCTTTCATGGCGAGAGACATTTTTAGTTTGGTCTTATAGCAAGCTTTGATACCAAAAGGGAAATTCTTTTTATTTAAATGATAGCTTCGTTATTTTAAAACAGATAATATTTAACATTTTACACGAGAACAAACGTGTAACAAATAATCTAAGGTATAAAGCAGGTATAAAACTGAGGCCTGGAGCCCACCACTCAACACAGACCAAGAACATTCTTAATAAACAGCATCTACTTCCTCCTACACATCTTATCCCAGATAACTACTATCCAGAAATGTTTTCTTCCTACTAATTGATCTTCAGCAGAGATTTGTTTATCTTTTCCTTACTTGTATAAAAATAAGTATGTATGCTATGTAATATTCCATCTGGAGATCTGCCATAATCTTTTCTCCTGTCATTTGGATAGTTTAGTTTGCTTTTCCTATTATCAACGGTGCTGTTAACTACATTTTTTTTTTCAAACAAGGTTTTGCTCTGCTGCCTGGGCTGGAGAGCACAGGCACAATCATAGCTTAGCATAACCTTGAAATCCTGGCTCCAGCAATCCTCCCCGCCTAAGCCTCTGGAGTATCTAGAACTATAGGTGTGTGCCACCACGTCCAAGAAATTTTTAAAATACTTCGTAGAGACAGGGTCTCATTATGTTGCCCAGGTTGGTCTCGAACTCCTAGTCTCAAGTGATTTTCCCCACCCTGGTATCCCAAAGTGCTGGAATTATAGGCACGAGATACCACACCAGGCTGTAAATACATTCTTATGTATGTCTAGTATGAAAATTCTTACACATGAAATTCTTTTCATATCTTTTTTTTCTTCTTCCAGGTACACACAAGAAACATAGCTGCTGAGCTGGAGGGTACAAATTATTTGACTATACAAGACACACAAGGTAACATCAACTGCTTTCCAAAATGGTTAAATCAATTTATATATTGCCACCAGCAATAAATACTGCTAGTGCACATCCTCCCCAATACTTACATATTGTCAGATTCTTACTTTTTATCTCTCCGTGGGTATTAACATGGTATCTCACTGAACTCTTAACTTGGACCTTTTCACGTTGGCCATACATGTCTTTTCTCTAAAATTCCTGTGCGCGCACACACATTTTTATTTTTGGCTGATTTTTACAACTAGGGTATTTTTTTCTACTTATAGTAGTTCTCTATAAATTCTGGGTACCAAACCAATTTTGGTTTTATGTGAGTCAAATACCTTTTCAGTTAATCACATGATTTTTATTTTCTTTTGATGTATCTTGATAAAAATAAGTGCTTAATTTTAATGAAGAGGAATGTATCAATCTTTTCCTTTATGAGTAATGTGTTCAGTATCTTACATTAAGAAATTATTTCTGACCTCAGAGTCAGAAAGAGATGCTATTATTTTCCTTTAAAAAACAAAAGTTCGCAGGTTCGTGACCCGCCTGGGCAACTTGACCAGACCTCATTTCTACAATAAATCAAAAAAATTAGCTGGGTGTGGTAGCGCACACCTCTAGTTCCAGCTACTTGGAAGTCTGAGGTGGAAGGATTGCTTGAGCCCAGCAGGTCAGGAGCGGCCACTGCACTCCAGTCTGGGCGAGAATGAGACTCCAACTCAAAAAACAACAACAACAACAAAAAACAAAAGTTCAGCCAGGCTCGGTGGCTCAGCCGGTAATCCCACGCTTTGGGAGGCCAAGGTGAGTGGATTGCCTGAGCCTGCGGGTTCAAGACCTGCCTGGGCAACTTGGCAAGACCTCATCTCTACAATAAATCAAAAAATTAGCCAGGCGTGGTAGCGTGCACCTGTAGTTCCAGCTACTTGGAAGGCTGAAGTGGAAGGATTGCCGGAGCCCAGCAGGTCAAAGCTGCGGTGGCCGGGAGCATGCCACTGCACCTCGGTCTGGGTGACAGAGTGAGACTCCAACTCAAAAAAGAAAAAAAAAAAGGAAAGTTACCTCTACTTCTGACAAAGATGGAGTAATAAGGACCCTATATACCCTCACATCCGAAATAACCAAGAAAACAAAACAAAACGTAAAACATGAAAAGATGGTTTCTAAGACACTGGGCATCTGGCAAATGAAACTGGGGAAGGAGCCCAAAAGATGAGAAACAGCCAGTTAAAGCAAGTCCCCGACTGCTCCAGCCCACTGCCACGAGTGACGCCACAAAAGAAAGAACTGAACAGATCAATGTTACTTAACTTTATCCCAGAACAAACCTGAAAAAGAATCTGAGGAATATAAAAATACCAAGCATGCAAGAGGGTTAAATTCTCAATGTCTGGCATCCAAAGCAGAAGATATAACCCAGAGTGAGAAATCAGTCCATCAAAACTTTGCCGATGCTAGAATCAGCAAACACATTAAAGGATATTACAAATTCTAGCCATATTCCATGTCAAAAAATATTGTAAGTTCTATGTCAAAAAAGTTAAATAAATAATGGGAGATACAAAAAAGACCTAAATCTAACATCTAGAAATGAAAACTACAGTGTCTAAGATGAAAATCCCACTGAGATGAACAGATTAGACACTGCAGAAGATCCATCACCCGTGAACTTGAAATTGCGCAACAGAAACTGTCGAAAAGCTAACAAAAAGCAAACAAGAGCTTCAGTGAGCTGTGTAATAGCATTAAAGCCACCTAATACTAATACACCTGGAGCCCCTGAAGGAAAAATAAAGAAGGGGGTGATGGAAACCATATCGGAAAAAACACCTGGATGAAAACAAACCCACGGATCCAAGAAGTTCAACAAACCCCAAGCACAAAATACACGCTAAACATATTAACAATCCCACTGCATACAACACATGCTAATCACTCCGCAGCAGTCCTACACTGCTAGATGTGTTAAAGTAAGTCCTCCAGGCAGTGGGAACAATGCCAGATAGAAGCCTAGATGTACACAAAGGAGTGAAAAGTACTAGAAATAATTATGTTCTTTAGGAGGCAATCTCTGGAGCTCTGCTGGCTCTCTTTATACACTCATGTACATACACATGTAGTACAGGCTATCCAAGTATCCCTTATTCAAAATGCTTGGGACTAGAAGTGTTTTGGATTTCAAGTTTTTTTAAATTTTGAAATGTTTCTGCATTATATTTACTGGTTGAGCATCCTTAATCCTAAATCCAAAATGTTCCAATGAGCATTTCCTTTGAGCATTGTTAGAGGCTCACAACATTTCAGATTTTGGATACTCAACCTGCATTATGGATTCATGAATTCTTTATTCCCCACTCCTTCAATGTATTATAGTGCATTCTGATCGTTACTCACTTTGAAGTTTTCACTGTCCCAAGTTTAGCCAACAGAGTGAGCCCTCCAAGCTCACTCTTGTACCCTCTTGACAAACACATGCCTGTCAATTTTGGGTGGTTCTTTCCCTTCAGCTACGTGTTCCAGACTTTCTTTCTTCTTGCCCCAGCGTAAGAATCAGCCATTTCTCCAAGCAGTCTGGGCTCCTCTTGATGGGGAATGATACCTAGAAACCATCTGAGGGCCAGGTATGCTCAGTGCTTTGGAGTGTCACTATTTCTACGTCCTTTCTGTGGTCACAGTGATACAATGTTTAATGGTGACAGCTTTATAGTTAAATTTTGGTGTTTTGCAGAGCAAATGCCCCCATCTTGGCCCTTCTCTGTGAATTCTAGAG